TGTGAGTTATTTACAAGGACTGTCTGAGACATTTGTCTGGATGTAAGGAGGATTTTTTAAAGTTTTTTTAAGAACTTTCAGAGGTATTGGTATTGGAGTTTTATAAGGACCAAGAGAGACATTGACGACAACTTTTTTACAATTTTTTGCAAGGACTATTAGGGTCAATGACTTGTATTTTTTAAAGAATTGACTTGGTTTTTTTAATTTTTTTGAAAGAACTATCAACGTGAATTGTTTTAAAGGAATTTTTCACAGAGACTATCAGAGGTATTGTCGTGGATTTTTAAGGATTTTTTAAGAATGCTTATCAGATGAATCAATGGGAATTATTAAGGAACTTTTTACAAAAACTAACAGATGAAGTGGATCTCTTAAAGAAGTTTTACAAGGACTAGCAGAGGTTATGAATTGTTTCTTTACAAGGGAGATCAGAGACATTGACGTGGATATTTTAAATAATGTTTTGAAAGGACTATAGGGTCAATGACGTGGATTTTTTTAATTTTTGTAAAGGCCTAACAGAGCAATCATCAAAGATATTTTTTTTCAAGGACTAACAGAGCATTAAATGGGATTTTTAAAGGATTTTTTCACAAGCACTATCAGAGGAATTGACATGGATCTTTTAAAGATTTTTTACAAGGACCATCAGAGGTAATGAAGTTGATTTTTAAGGAATTTTTCACGTGGACTATCGGACGTACTGATGTGGATTTTTAAAGTGATTTTTCACAAGGACTGCAGTACATACTGCTTGAATTTTGAAAGGAATTTTTCACAAGGACTATCAGAGGTATTGACGCAGATTTTTAAGGAATTTTTCACAAGGACTATCAAAGCAATCGGAGGACGTGAATATTTGTTTTTGGATGTTTAAAGGATTTTTCAAAAGAACGTGTTTTAAAAATTTTTAAAAAGGACGTTTTATACAAGGACTTGGATTTTTAATGAACTTTTGAAATAATCTTTAACAAGGACGTCGATTTTTTAAAGAACCCATAACAAGGACGTGGATTTTTTAAAGAAACCTTAACAAGGACGTGGATTTTTAAAATAATCTTTAACAAGGAAGTGGATTTTTTTAAAGAGCCCCTATCAAGGACATGGATTTTTTAAAGAACCCTTAACAAGGACGTGAATTTTTAAATAACCCTTAACAAGGACCTGGATTTTTTAAAAACATTTTTTCAAGGACGATTTTTGCAACAACAAGGATAGATTTTTTAAAAACATTTTTTCAAGGATGGATTTTTTTAAGTGGACATTTTTCAAGTTCGTGGATTTTTTAAAGAATTTTTACAAGGACCTGGCATTTTTAATGCAATTTATTGCAAGGACGTTTTTTTAAAGAATTTTTTTTACAAGGACTGACATTTTTTAAGGATTTTTTTACAAGGACGTGGATTTTTTAAAGACATTTTTACAAGGATGGATTTTATAAATAATCTGTAACAAGGACCTGACAATTTTAATGAATTCTTTACAAGGAAGTGGATTTTTAAAAAAAAATTTTACAAGGTCATTGTCTTTTAAAGAATTTTTTGCACGGACGTGGATTTTTAAATGAACTTTTTACAAGAACCTGACATTTTTTAATGAATTTTTTAGAAGGAAGTGAATTTTTGAGTGGACTTCTTATAAGGACGTGGTTTTTCTAATATTTTTTCTAAAAGGACGTGAAATTTTGAGTTTACGTTTTTCAAGGATGTGAAATTTTGAGTTTACTTTTTTCAAGGATGTGAATTTTTAAGTTGAAATTTTTCAAGTACTTGGATTTTTTACTGTATTTTGTGCAAGGACGTGGATTTTTTAAAGAATTTTTTACAAGGACGTGGATTTTTTAAAGAATTTTTTGCACGGACGTGGATTTTTAAATTAATTTTTTGCTCGGACATGGATTTTTAAATGAATTTTTTAGAACGACCTGACATTTTTTATTGATTTTTTTAGCATGACGTGAATTTTTGAGTGGACTTCTTATAAGGACGTGGTTTTTTTAATAATTTTTTTATAAGGACGTGAACTTTTGAGTGTCCTTTTTAAAGGATGTGAATTTTTAAGTGGACATTTTTCAAGTTCGTGGATTTTTTTAAAGAATTTTTTACAAGGACCTGGCATTTTTTAATGCAATTTATTGCAAGGACGTTTTTTTAAAGAATTTTTTTTACAAGGACTGACATTTTTTAAGGATTTTTTTACAAGAACGTGGATTTTTAAAGACATTTTTACAAGGATGGATTTTATAAATAATCTGTAACAAGGACCTGATATTTTTATTGAATTTTTTGCAAGGATCTGATATTTTTATTGAATTTTTATAAGGATAAGGACTTGTTTTTTTTGTAATAATTTTTTTAAAAAGACGTGAAATTTTGAGTTTACTTTTTTCAAGGATGTGAATTTTAAGTGGAAATTTTTCAAGTACATGGATTTTTTAAGAATTTTTTACAAGGACTTGGCGTTTTTTAATGAATTTTTTTGGAAGGACGAAGATTTTTTAAAGATTTTTTTTAGAAGGACTGGCATTCTTTTATCACATTTTTTTATAATGACGTGGATTTTTAAAGAACTTTCTAAAGGAACTTGGAGATTTTAAAGAATTTTTCACAAGGATATGGATTTGTTATAAAATTTTTTACAAGGACATGAATTTCTTGATAAACTTTTTACGAGGACGTACATTTTTTAATTGACAAAAACGTGCATTTTTTAAAGAATATTTAACAAGGACGTGGATTTTTAAAGAGTTCTTTACAAGGACCTGACATTTTTTAATAAATTTTTTAACAGATTTTTTTTACAAGGATTTAAGATTTTTTTCTTTACAAAAACGTGGATTTTTTAACAAGGATGGGGATTTTTATACTCTCAGTCATGTGGCTAGGGCCTTTGGACCAAACCCGTTTCAGGACATTTGGAGTCGATCTAGCGATGTCCGTCCGTCCGCCCGTTTGTCTGTCTGGCTGGTGCACACGATAACTCTCAAAGGGAGAATACGATGTACTTGGTACATCGTAATATTACTGCAAAACTTAGATCGAGTTTGAAAATGAACTATATCGGTGCAATCCTTCTGGTACCTCCCCCTCAAAATGTCAAAATTTTTAAAGAAAATAATTTACTGCACATAAAGAGAAATGACAATCCGATTTTAAGAAAAAAAATTTTGAATAAAAAAAGCTATCATAAAATCCGAAATAAGCATCTGGTTCTCTTCAAATTACACACATCGCAATATTTGTATTAGCCCAAGGTCTGGTGAGAAGATCGAATATACACGTCCACTCCTTCTGGTACCTCCCCTTCATATCGTATCACTTTCTGAGTCAATTTATGCGAGTCAGTCCATCCGTCGGTCCATGTATTCTTAAGAACAAAATGCAGATCGCATTTATTATCCGATTGCGATGAAATATTGCAAACAATATTTGTTTGGCCCAAGGACGAACCTATTGAAATTAGTGATAATCGGATCAGATTTAGATAAAGCTCCCATATATCTTCAACCGATTTCAGGTTAATTGTGCACCAAATGGGCAATATACGTCCAAATGATCTGAGTTTTGGCACATTCACCCGAATTTAGTCTAGAAGCAAGCACATCAAATTTAGTGGATATCGATTCAGATATATATGTTTTAACCGATTTGGTATTTAAGTCCACCACATTCGTAATATGCACCCCACAAGAATGATGTTTGGTATCGGATACAGCCCAGAAATTAAATCAAGATCCCTTCAAATTTGTATATAGCTCCCATATATATCTTCAACCGATTGCGGTTTCTTTGCGCACCAAGTAGCCAATAGCAGTCCCAATGACCTGTATTTTGGCATTTCCAACCGAATACAGTCTAGAAGCAAGTGCATCAAAATTTGTTGAAAATCTGTTCGGATAGATATAGCTCCCATATATATGTTTCATCCGATATGGTGTTTAAGTCCCTCACATTCGTAATACCGATTCGACAACAATGATATTTGCTACCAGATATCTTATAGAGCTCGGAAATACCTTTGCCAAATTTTAGTTTATTTCTACCGCTATTAGATCCAGAGCAGTAATAAAGGTTCACTCCCTCAGGTATCTCTTCTTCACAAACGTTTGCTAACTTCTGCACTTAATTCTATTACAACTTTCTCCATCTAGTCATTGCCAAAAAGGGTGAAACTGCAAACAAACAAAAATGTTAACCACATTTCTAATCGTAAAATATTCAAAAATTTCATTTCCAAGATTTCATTTTTATGGCTTGCACCTCCCAATGATTTACGACGCCTGTTGACATTATTCAATTGTGCCACAGTGTTGTTAGACAGCAAACACCGATGGCCAGAGACACTGCATTGGCAAACGTCAGGGCACAAACATTGCAACAAAACCCCATCTGTGAAAGCAAGTTTCATTTCATTTTCATTTTCTTTGCAACTTTGGCAAATGTGTTTGGAGTCAATTCGAGTATTTGTTTTTCCCATGCCGAAGCCCCGCCGCCAACCAGCCGACCAATCTTGGTTTATTGATTTAAGAAGGCATTGTGGACGATAGATGGATGGCTAGATATGGGCTGGGGATGTGCAAACGTATGTGTGAGTGTATATGAAAGTATGTCTGGATGGAGTTTCCAGCAAGTAAGTACCAGCAATAAAAAGGTAGGTTGCTTGGCAGTTAGGCCGGCAAAGCAATAAGGCTAAATAGTACTTTTGTTGTTGTTGTTGGTTTTTTACGGCAACAAAAATTTGTTTTATGCGGTTTGATGTTTGCCTGTGCTGTAGCAGCAGCCCCACCACTCCAGCCAGCCAGCAACAACATCACCAACCAACTGCTGCTACAGCTCTTCTTATGCAGCTGGGCTGTTTCGTTGTTGTTGCTGCTGCTCGTTGTTGCTTGTTTGATTTTCCAAACATTCGTGTGCGACACGATGCCCACTGCAGCAGCAGCAGCAACTGGCGGCGACAGCCTTTCACTGATGGTATATAAAACTTGAAGATAGAGCGCGCCGACACTCATTCACATTCAGTATTTGCGCATCGTTTGTTCGTTCACTCGCTCGCTCGCTAAATCGCTCGTTCCGTTTAGTTTTGTATCAGCATAGTAGTCGTAGTCGGGTCGATCGTTTTACATCAAAGTAAAGGTTTTACTAAGCCGACGCACACACGCACACACACACACACAAGAAACGGTAACAATCATACGGTGTGTCAAACGACAGAGAGTGTGCAAAGTAAACAATTACTACAACAACAGTGACAATAAACAAAATTAAAAATCTCTCTGTGCTCTTCTGTTTGTTGTTGGTGCACGGGATTTTAATGTCACCAAAAGTTGATGCCCAAGAAGAATAAGAAGAAGACAACAACGGCGACGACGACGACGACGAAGAAGAAGTCTTAGTGTCTGTCTCGAAATTAATTGGATCGGAAGAATTGTAGTTGTCGCAAAGAGGAAGTTAAGCATTTTGACGACGCAACGACAAAAGAAGAATGTAATGTTTGAAAAAGTGTTGAAAGTGGAATAAAAAAATAAAAGAAAAACAAAACAACAACAAAAACACACCAGTAGCGCTTCAGCTTCAATCACAATAGCAAAGTAATGAGAAAAATTGATGATGACAAAGAAATCATAAAAAACACACACACACATAGTTTTACAAAATTAACAACAACAACATAAAGTTCATTTTATTAATGTATGCAAGCAACTTTAGAAACACACACACGCAAGCGCACACATACACAATTGTGGAACACATTGTAAAAAGGGACAATTAGTGAACTGTAATTACACACACGTGTATTTGGAGATTCGAATGAAAAGTTAAGGTAATGGGTATCCAAAATTATTGGATTTTTATAGAGTCTCCGTTCGACCGTGACTAAAAATTTGTTATTATATTGTGAACAAAATGAAAGAATCTAAAATGTGAAATTACAGGCAATTTGAATCGTAAATTTGAAAGGGCTATGCCAAAATATGAGGGAGACAGCTTTGTATCCCAATTAGAATTCAAATATGGCATGAATAATGCCAACATTCATGGTTAAATAGACAAGTATTTTGGTTAAAATGAAATAAAAAAAATAGGACCTGGTTAAAAATGTGAGCTACATTGGGTAATTTTTACAGGACCAATTTCTATAAACTGTCAATGCGAACTGTCAAATTACAACTAATCCAATTTGAAACTGTAAATAAAATCTAAAAAATTCCGAAAAGCAAGAGGTACCGTCATATTAGAGCTATACCAACAAATGAATCTAAATTTTATTTTTTTTTTTTGTGGAGAAAGTTTATTGCACTGCTCCAGAACTTCAAGAATGTCAATGTTTATATTTCGATAATTTTTTTTCTGTATTTTTTATAATATCGGAAGAATCTGTAACTTATTTCGACAGGAAAAAAATAAAACTTGTACTTTTTAGAATAGGCACCTTCTTTTTTTTAAAATTATGTTAACTTACTTATTTGGTTAATAGCTTGGCTTAAGGTCATTAAAAAACTATGTTTTTATTTTTGAATTTTTCCTTTTTTATTCATCCAATATTTCGATTTCCTCCGGAAATCATCTTCAGGGATCTGTTTTACAAAAAACACAAATTACAAACTGATTTTAACAATATATAACACAATAAATAACATACATTTTTAAAGTAAAAAGCTCGTCTATTGAGTTTAAATGTCACTATCAAACTAAGTTTTCTTTCGTCGGTGTTTATGAACTAGGCTTCTGTAAATATGAGCACAATGGTCTGTATCGGTCTTATAATTAATGCGTTTGTCATTTGGTAAACTTATAATATGTAACATTTCCAATGTAAATCGTCTTTTGTAATTATTTTCTTGTGCTAATATGTCGACGGTTTTAAGGTCGGGTTTATGTCCTGTCAATGTGCAATGGGCAGCTAAAGCAGTCTTCTGTTCGAGAGGCTTGTCACTTTTTTGATCCGATTTATGTCCGGAAAGTCTAGTTTTTAATTTCGTCTTTGTCGTGCCGACATATGACTTTTGGCATACGTCAGCGTCGTCCCCATTACATGTTATCCTATAAACTACATTGCACTTGTCCTCATTCTTAATTTTAGATTTTGTTTTACTAAACAGACTGTCGACATTATTACGAGATTTAAACGCTAATTGATAGTGGTCCTTATTGTAGATGTTTGATTTACCAAGTCTTTCTGAGAATCCCGGGATGTAAGTAACAGCTTTATATATCTTTTCTTGTCTTGCCTCCTTTATTTGGTCCGTTTTTGCGTGTATAATTAGGTCGTCAATGGTGCTTTTTGGAAAATCATTTTGTCTTAATATGTGGCGTATTTTTCTTTCGTTCTCTGAGTGGAATTGTTCGTCACTTATATTGAAAATCCTTTTGATAAAATTAGTCGCTGTGTTTATTTTTATTCGTCGGGGGTGTTTAGAATAAAAGTTAATCAATCGTCCTGACGCCGTTGGTTTTTGGTACCAATCTAATATAAGTTTTCTTCCTTGTCTGATTATTATTGAGTCCAAATAGGGTAGTCTGTCATTTTTCTCCAGTTCGTGTGTAAATTGTATGCTCGGGTTGAATGTATTTAGGATATTTAATGTGGTGTTGATATCCGATTTCTTCATTATACAAAAAATGTCGTCTACGTATTTTGTTACTGCTCTCGGCTTTGTCATCAGTTTTTCTAAAGAAGCGTCCAATAATTCCTCCATTACGATGTCAGCAATGATCGGTGACGCTGGTGATCCCATAGGAAGTCCTTTTCGTTGTTCGTACACCTTGTCCGAGTATTTGAAATATCTACAGTCCTTTATACAAAAGGTCAGTATTTCTTTAAAAACGTCTTTAGGTATTTTCGTGTATTTTTGTAACATGTTCCACTTTTCATCTATTGTTCTTAAAGCTAGGTTAATCGGTATGCTGGGAAACAACGAAACTACATCAAATGATATTAATACCTCGTCTTCTTCAATCTCCAAATTCATTATCTTGGTTTTAAAATCAATTGCGTCCTTAATGTTATATGGTGAATCCCCTGTCAAGTGTTTTAAAATATTTACAATATACTTGGAAAGTCCGTGAGCTGGTGAATTTATTGAAGAACATATTGGTCTTAGAGGTGTGCTTTCTTTATGTATTTTTGGAAGCCCGTAGATTCTTGGCGCATTTGCAGTATTGATTGTCAATTTATTTTTCTCCATCATATCAATTACTCCCATTTTATATAATTTATCTATTAATTTGTTGTTTTTATTCTGTAATGTCGTAGTTGGGTCCCGCTTTAACCTTTTGTAGGTGCAAATATCATTTAAAATGGTTTTCATTTTCATATCATAGTCCATCTTGTGCATTGCAACCGTCTTTCCCCCTTTATCAGCATTTAATATCAATACATCTTTATTTTCTTTTAAAAATTGTTTTGTTCTACCCACTGTGTCCATTATTAGTTTATCTCTTATACTCAATTTCGTCTGTTGTAAGTGGTCGTCAATTAGAGAGACTATTGCATTTCTCGCGTTCTCTTGATCCTCTTTGTCGTCTAAGGTTTGAATACATTCTTCACTTTCTGCAATGACATTCAGTAAGGGGAATGCCGTTTTTGTTGTTGGCAAAGCATATTTGGGGCCCATCGACAACAGCCACTGAACGTCGTTTGGTATGCTTACGTTGGTGTTGTTGGTGAACCATTGGTTGTTGTGTTGAATATTCAATATTGATAGTTGTTCTTGTTTTAATTTTTGGTATTTGTTGATGTGTCTTGTTTTGTTTTTGTTGTCGTAGCTGCGACGGAGAACATTTTCGCTCTCAATGTATTTGTTGTAATCTTCTTCGTCCATTACCTGCTGCAGTTTCGTTTTAGTTTTTTTGAGTATAGTTTTGTTGTTGTGGAGTTCTTTATGTTTTTGTTGTATTATAAGCTTTAATATTTTTGTGTGGAAATTGTAATTGTATTTTTCGAGTGTTGATAATAAATTTGGCGGGATTTTCTCATTTGTTTGGAATATGTTGTTGGTGTTTTTAGTAGTGTTAGAAATGAACTTTGGAACTACTCCTAGCTGTCTGCATTTTATTAAAAAGGTTGTTGATGCTGTCAAAGTTGCTGTTTGCCGGTTACGTTTGGAATATTGCTTGATGTTATTAATCGTGTTTGTGTCATATTTTTGTTTAATTTCTTTGTATAAATGCATTTTTAACGTATTTCTCTTAATTATGATGCGGTGTGCCTTCCGTGTTAAATGTTGTTGTTGTATATTGTTGACCTGTTATATTTATTTTACTTATTTGGTTAATAGCTTGGCTTAAGGTCATTAAAAAACTATGTTTTTATTTTTGAATTTTTCCTTTTTTATTCATCCAATATTTCGATTTCCTCCGGAAATCATCTTCAGGGATCTGTTTTACAAAAAACACAAATTACAAACTGATTTTAACAATATATAACACAATAAATAACATACATTTTTAAAGTAAAAAGCTCGTCTATTGAGTTTAAATGTCACTATCAAACTAAGTTTTCTTTCGTCGGTGTTTATGAACTAGGCTTCTGTAAATATGAGCACAATGGTCTGTATCGGTCTTATAATTAATGCGTTTGTCATTTGGTAAACTTATAATATGTAACATTTCCAATGTAAATCGTCTTTTGTAATTATTTTCTTGTGCTAATATGTCGACGGTTTTAAGGTCGGGTTTATGTCCTGTCAATGTGCAATGGGCAGCTAAAGCAGTCTTCTGTTCGAGAGGCTTGTCACTTTTTTGATCCGATTTATGTCCGGAAAGTCTAGTTTTTAATTTCGTCTTTTCGTCTTGTCGATGGGCCCCAAATATGCTTTGCCAACAACAAAAACGGCATTCCCCTTACTGAATGTCATTGCAGAAAGTGAAGAATGTATTCAAACCTTAGACGACAAAGAGGATCAAGAGAACGCGAGAAATGCAATAGTCTCTCTAATTGACGACCACTTACAACAGACGAAATTGAGTATAAGAGATAAACTAATAATGGACACAGTGGGTAGAACAAAACAATTTTTTAAAAGAAAATAAAGATGTATTGATATTAAATGCTGATAAAGGGGGAAAGACGGTTGCAATGCACAAGATGGACTATGATATGAAAATGAAAACCATTTTAAATGATATTTGCACCTACAAAAGGTTAAAGCGGGACCCAACTACGACATTACAGAATAAAAACAACAAATTAATAGATAAATTATATAAAATGGGAGTAATTGATATGATGGAGAAAAATAAATTGACAATCAATACTGCAAATGCGCCAAGAATCTACGGGCTTCCAAAAATACATAAAGAAAGCACACCTCTAAGACCAATATGTTCTTCAATAAATTCACCAGCTCACGGACTTTCCAAGTATATTGTAAATATTTTAAAACACTTGACAGGGGATTCACCATATAACATTAAGGACGCAATTGATTTTAAAACCAAGATAATGAATTTGGAGATTGAAGAAGACGAGGTATTAATATCATTTGATGTAGTTTCGTTGTTTCCCAGCATACCGATTAACCTAGCTTTAAGAACAATAGATGAAAAGTGGAACATGTTACAAAAATACACGAAAATACCTAAAGAC